TAGCAAATTGTACTACTTCAACCAATAATGATTCACGTGATATTACTTTATAACATACCTTAGTTAATATAATCATATTATCATTCGGTGATCTTATTTTTTTATGATTTCCTATCAAGCTTATGAAACAACAATATATATAAATCTATTGTTCAACAAGTTTGAGGACCAATGTTAACTACAAGTCCAGGAAAAAAGGAAGATTGAAAGAAAGATCCTTAAAGCACACTAAGCACTTCAGCTTCAAATCAAAATAATAAGCCATCGATAATGAGCACAGAAAATGATGATAGTGACAGAAATAGTAACAACTAATGGAAGCGATTCAGCATGGCAATACATGAAAGCTTTGTAGCATAATGGATGGCAGCGCCACTTAGACATAGAGGCTCAGGTTCGGTTCTTGGAACCGCTAAACAAATGTTTTGTTTTAACGTTTACCTTATTGGGAGATGATAACTCAAAATGCTCCCAAACAGGAGACGTTTTCCTCTTTCTCGCAGGCTCCATTTCTCGAAAAAAATAGAACCAAAACTCCAACTCTCAACAACCAACTAACGCAAACTCACAAGGAGACATGACAAGTGGGTTTCGCTTCCTTTTATCCACAACCCGAAACACAAACAAATCAATGACGTAGTTCTACTCGAAGTGAGGCCTCGTTTGTCATCGATGACGCGCTTCTCTGAAAATGACACAAGCCTCGGTGTCAAACGTAACATCACTACTATAGCGTACTTTATATCGTTTATTGTTCCAGGATATTTAACATCATCGGGCAGAGGGACAGTAAGTTATAACTTTAAGCTAACACCGGGGCCTGTAGGCGCGTTTGATGAAGATTACAGCACATTCTGACTTGTAAAAAAATCAAGGGAATAAATTACATTTTCTAAACAACCTCAAAGGTACAATTAAATTATAATATTGTAAAAAAAAAGTATAGATTAAACAAATGTAACCTGAGAAATGTAATGAGCCTCGGCACTGTTAGTAACTAGTCAGTCTTAACAATATTACACATTTACAGTTAACTTTGGCTATACAATCGTAACAGCTGCATAGTTGTAACTTAGCCTAAATATTAACCAGGGTCACCAGTCTCTTGAACAGACTTTTTTTTTTATGGCATTATGTAATCGAAAGTGTAAAAATTAAAGTTGGCCCTAGTTGGGTGTTTGATGTACTACTGTGCTGTTTTTTCTGTTTGTAACATTGGCAACGTGTCAATGTTACAAACAGAAAATCAATACCACCTTGAATCGGCTGTAGTGTTTGTTAAAATAGGTTCATGAAGAACGGATTAGACAGACATCAAAAGGAAACAGAAATAGCTTGATAATGATATTGACACCAGTTATACTCTCGAGTGAATTAAAAAAATAAAATGACGACGCTTTCACCAAGATTCTTGTTTCTGTTCCAAAGTGTACCACCTTTGTATAAAGCCAAAACTTGAAGAATTGGGATAACACTCTTAGAAAATGAATACAGGATGAAAAAAAACCAAGGGTGATAAAAAAACTTGAAGGAACTGAAATCCAGTGAGGGGTTGGCATTACCAGGTCTCAGTAAGTATTTCTATGCTGCACAGATAAAATACTTAATGACGTTGATGGGTGAAATTGAAAAATAAAACCAAAGTGGGAAGCTAAAGAAATAAGCTCATTCCTGTCCTTTAGTTCAGTAATGTTAGGTAGAATAAACTACATAACTATTTTATCACAAACACTATGAACATCGGAGGAGGGTTGATAAGGTGATGAACATAACGGAAAAAGACACCTGAAATTAAAGGAGGTGCAAGCTTTCAGCGCTGGAGAAACTTGGGTGACAGTATTTACTTTAAAGGTAGAGTATGCGATTCTTTGATCCAGCAGATGTCGCCCTTGAGCACCAGCATGAAACCAAAACAACTTGCGCTACATTGTTGTGTTAGCATGCTAATGCTAGCGCTCTTCATTTTACTCGTATCTTCACACTGCATGTAAATTTACCTGAAATGAGCGTGATCTAGAAACGCTTATGTGACCTTCAATTAAGCAGTGAGTACAGTATGTACTAGTCCCTCAATTAAACAACTTTTATACGAGAGGGGATGAGCCAGCCAGCCGGCCGTCCTGGCAATGTAAACAAACTGAAGATAGGACTCTGAAAACATCACAGACAGTGGGACTCGGGTGTTACACCCATGACTCACAGAGTTATTTTCAGAGGATATACTTGATTTATATTATATTTATGTGTGAAAAATTGAATATTCTGCCTTTAACAGATCGCATGAATAGAGGTTTTTAAGTTTATCAAAGGGAACTTTCAAATTCATTAAAAAAACAAACCTTAGCTCTGAAACAAATAACAAAAAGGTGGCAAAAAAACTCAATCTCAAGATCTTATAAAATGTTCAAATATGAACTTTAAGAAGTCAAAGGTATGGAAAAGGGAACTCGGAATCTCACAGTACCGTATATGTCTAAGTGTAAATATGCACATGTACGTGCATGTATTTGTGCGCCAGTACCCATGATAAATAATCACCTGTAGAAAATTAAATGTGACACGTTGGTTATATTCATATTTCTTGGGTACATTTGTTTCCTTCTTTTGTTAATTTCAGTTACATTTTACACTTGTGTTGGTATAAACTGTCAATTGCCAACATCAAATGATTCTTGAAAAAATCTAATTTATAAAACAATCTTACCTACTGAGATTTTTCCACTTCAAATTCTGGAGAATTCTTTGATGGGAGTGAACATCAGTCTCATTTTAGCATAGTGATTAGCCTCCTTTTTTAAACATGTACAGAGGCTATAGTTCTTCAAGCGACACCAGTTTCTAAATAAAGGCATCAAAAGTCCAATAAACCTAAAAACAAAAAAAAAGTATTGTTTAAGACTTATCACTTTAGATGCTGTTTATGTAGACCTTTTTTTTTTTTTTTAAATCTTTGGCAAGATTTACATAATGACATGTACTGCTCTGGCTAGCTGACCACCTAAAAAGAAATTGTTTGTTGTGACCACAGGAGGGCGCCCTGACAGCCTTCAGGAAGACTTATGACAAGACGGTGGCTCTGGGTCACAGACTAGATATTGTCTTCTACCTGTTGAGGATCGGCCTCTTCTACATGGACAGTGACCTCATCACACGCAACTCAGAGAAAGCGAAAAGGTACAAATTCCTTGTTTTGAACGGTCTCCAATCTCCATCCACAAAGTCAGCAATCTGTTCAGCACTCATCCACCGCTCTGTGTCCACAGCCTCATTGAGGAGGGGGGGAGACTGGGACCGGAGGAATCGTCTTAAGGTGTACCAGGGCCTGTACTGTGTGGCCATCAGGGATTTCAAACAAGCTGCTGAGCTCTTCCTCGACACAGTGTCCACCTTCACTTCTTATGAGCTCATGGACTACAAGACTTTTGTCACCTACACCGTCTACGTCTGTATGATCGCCCTCAAAAGGCCTGACCTCCGTGAAAAGGTAGACTCCAAAGAGAACGTCACATTTAACTTTATACTGTTCATGTACAAGATTTGTGATCTATCGTTATTAAGGTTATGAGTGTGGAAACCTGTTGAAGTGTGCAGTATTGCTCTAATGTTATGTGTTGTTCTTCAGGTAATAAAAGGAGCAGAGATCTTGGAGGTGCTTCACAGTCTGCCATCTGTCCGCCAGTATCTGTTCTCGCTGTATGAGTGCCGTTACTCTGTCTTCTTCCAGTCTCTGGGTGAGGAAAATGTTCTATTGTTGACGGCAAAAAGAAAAATAGGCACAAACTCTTTTTCTACGAACTTGTATGTAGTTCAATAACAAATGTGAGACTTGTTTTGTTTGCCACAGCCACAGTGGAGCAGGAGATGAAGAAGGACTGGCTCTTTGCGCCACACTACCGCTACTATGTGAGGGAGATGAGGATCCAGGCCTACAGCCAGCTGCTAGAGTCCTACCGCTCGCTCACCCTGGGCTACATGGCCGAGGCCTTTGGTGTCAGCACAGAGTTCATCGACCAGTAAGTGCCAGCAGACTCGTGTTCATATTAAACACCCTGGTGACATCAGAAAAATTAATCATCGACAGTAGTTGAACCTTTTTCCTCATGTACAACCTTCTGTCAGATAAAGATACATGTTGGATCAGTGTTGTTTCAGCACTTATTTCATCAATTAGGCTGAAAATCAACATCTGTTCTTGATAAAGTATGAGGGACTCGCTGAGAGCAAAACATACAAAATAACAGGTTTAACAAATAGTTAGAGATGACCTGAATAGTTCCCAGCATGCCCGCTTCTCTCCTCAAACACATTACAATCACTGACTCACTGTAAAACTATTATTTTAAATAAAGCTTCCTGGGATCATTAGTGTCAACATTTTAGGGTGCTTAAATTTTGACTTTATTAATATTTGAGAACTTAAACACTAGTGGTATTAAACCTCTAACTCCCTCCCATTTACAGTTTATTTGTAAGTGTACAAAGAATAGGCTTTAAGCTTAAGAGCATTGTTTAGTTTTTTTGTGCTTTACTGATCAAAATCTCCTTTCCTTCCTCAGGGAACTGTCCAGATTCATAGCTGCCGGCCGTCTCCACTGTAAAATTGACAAAGTGAATGAGATAGTGGAAACAAATAGGTAATATCACTGCTCAATACTTCCAAAAATGAGTCATTAATCCCAGGCAGGATGATAAACATCTTCCTGTTTTTCTTTTCAGACCTGACAGCAAAAACTGGCAGTACCAGGAAACCATCAAGAAGGGCGACTTGCTGCTCAATAGAGTCCAGAAGCTGTCAAGAGTTATCAACATGTAACGACTGCGGCCATGTTTTCTCGTCACAGCAACGGGTCTTTCATCTTAGTTCTTGGTATACCTGATCCTGTAGTTTGTCTGATAAAGCAACTCTTCTAATGTGTATATAATAAAATTTGTTTAACTGTTTGGATGCCGTTTCTCTCGACTGTTTATTGAAGGAACAAGGCCGACACGTCATTTCATATAAATAGCAGTATAAATTATTTTATTTACAGAAACTTGTTACAAAACAAATATACTATACAATCTTTTTTCTTTAAATATTAATTCTAACCTATGTTTTGTTCATGAATTACATAGCAGCCAATACATAAGTCCAGCTGAAAATGATTCTGATAATGGATACAAAAGAAACCTATACACACTTGTACATAGTATGAATGGTGGATTTCTGTTTTCCTCCCAAACACGAGCTGTATTCTTTCTTTCACATTCCAAGTCTATGGTGCTAATCATTCAAACATCCTCACAAGGTTTCTGTTCACATGAAACGGTTGCAGGATATCCGTTGAGTTTGAGGGTAAACAAAAACACTTGATTGAAGTTTATGTTGTGTACAAATATCCCAGTAAACCAGGGGAGGCCTTAGGCCATACACTGAGGCTGACAATAGATCTTGACGTCTTGTCTGGAAAACTTGGATAACCCCCCCCGTCTCCCCCCCCCCCCCAACCCAAATGAAGAAAAAAACACACAATACTAAAGTCTTTCATAACGGGCAGCTGACAAGCTCAGGTTTTTACCACATTTAGGGTTCATAGGCAGATTTAAAAGCAAACTCCTAAACACATTGAACATTCAAGTAAGGTAAAACAACCCAAAGAATACTGTCCTCAAACAGTCAGGGTGAAACTAATTTAGGCACTTTCTTAATTTGATATTTCTTTTCAAAGCTGTGATTCAAATTGTATGTTTGGCAACAATAACACAAACAGGCGGACTGTTTGAAGTGTTCCTCTTATTTGCAATGATTGCTGAAGCCCCTTCTACATTTCTATAGAACACAAATGTTTCAATCATGAAATGAGATTCAGGTTTCCAAAGTGTGTGACTGAGGAGTCCCATGGAAACTAGCTAGACAAAGAGCAGCTTCAAGCCTACAGGACATTTCTAAATCACAGACTATATTGGGTCATAATGTAGCTTTTTGTTGTGTTGATTCAGAGGCAACATAAAACGTCTTGTAAAAGCACATGTGATTGAGACCTTGAAACGTGAATAAAGGTTTCCTTTGTCAGACCGACACATGCTACAGTGGCAACACTTTTTCCTCTAAAGGTTTTCAGTACACGATTCATGAGACGCTTCACCTTCTACATATCGGTGTATTGCATTATATAGACTTGGCAGTGAACCACTCTTGACTTTCCATCTTTTTTTTCTTTTTCCTTTTACTAAATAAATAATGACTTTTTTAAAATCTGTACCAAATATTCAGCTTGTACGAAAAATGCCTTTGCAAAAATACATATTTCTCTATGTACAATTGTTAACAAAATATGTATTCTCAAATAGGGAGACTTCAATACGTGTTTGATACATAGGCTAGAAGATATAAGCTAAATGATGCTTTAAAAAAAAAAAAAATCAACTCCACTTCTTACTATCTGACATCAGTGAAGCTTTCATACAGAAAACGTTGTTGCCAAAAGTTGAAATATGTCCCGTGAAGCCATCTCTATGAATCTTGCACCATAAAACCCACACAAGACCTCTCAAAAGAAGCAAACGTCCCAGTGAGATGGGCAAGTATTGCCTGATTTAAGACTCCATTTTGACAAAGGAATAGAGTAAAAATGCCTGGCCATGTTCTGCAACAAATGTTTTCTGAACACACACACACATAACTTAGTGTTTTGGTGAGGCATCCAACGTTTTAACATCCAGAGCTGGGGTAGTGGTTACACACAGGAGGGACAATCGAAACCACAGAAGACAGGTGACGTGCATAAAGTTTGCTCCAGTTAAGACGTACCATACCTGATTCCCTACGTAGGAAAAAAAAAAAAAATTACAATTCACATCTGCCCACAGCTGCTGTGCGCGTTCATACAGCTGTGCGGGGTAAAAAGTAGGTCATTTGTGGCTAATAATACGGTTTGCACAGATTTTTCTTCATATCCACACAGGCAATGCAACATCACCGCTTCATGAGCATGATGCCCACCTTTTAGTTGAAAAAAAAAAAAAGAAAGTAGTTGGCAAAGCTGGTAGCAGCTGTTGGCTAGCTCTGAAGACAACTGAGCAGTGCCTGTGGAGAAAGTAGTTCTTTAGTGCTGTTCACAGTTGAGGGTAGGTCTACTGTTGCTGTCATTTTGCACAATGGAAAGATTCAGAAAATTAACAGGTGTCCTAAAGACCAAGCTGACAAAAGATTCAATCGAATGGGCACATCAGGCGTCCTATTCACATTTGAAAGCTCAACTCTCTCCACCACGCCTACAAAGACTCTTTGTAGTTCAGTGTAAAAAGCTCATAAGAAATCATATAAAGGTAACACTTGCATAATTATTCTGGATAATAAAACCAGACCAGATCGTCCTAAGGGGCTTCTCTGAGGCTCCTGCGTGTGACCCGAGGTTTCTCAACATGTCACCAGAGAGTTGAACCAAAAGAAAGTGAAACAACAAGGTGATTGTGTGTTGTTTAAGGTGTTGAAAGTAACAGTTTGCTGCTCCTCCTGCAATCCAATCCAAGGCTTCTGAGATCAGGCGCTGGGGGTGTAATTAAGTCGGAAATTCCAGTAGTCCAGCAGAATTTGACATGACGAAAATACTTTAACACGCACACGCATTCACACAGTCATTCTTACAAATGCAGAGGAGATCAGCATGTTGCCTTCCTAGTTGCTCAGAGTTGTGACGGCTTGTTGCTGCAGCCCTTAACCTGAACCCAATGAGCAAGAGACCCATTGCTGTTGCTAATGTTCCTCCTTCCTCGAACCAGACCGGAAGACCTCTCAGAGAACAGGGGTGACACTTGCATGGGGGGGTCCTTGACAAGCTCATTAGAACCCCTGGCACTCCACGCATTCCCCAAACGGTACCACTTCCCCTCTCTTACACAAACACACACACTCACACATACACACACATGGCTTTGGGAGAAATAGTAAGGACCACATTGACTTCACTGGGCAGTCCAGATCATCTCCACCCTGAGGATTGTGGGAAGCTGAGAGTAATGTGGGTTTGACTTAAGAAGGCCTCGTGCAGTCAGGAGCAGTTAGTGGGCTGCTCCGGACTATTCCCTGTCCGCCTACCGCTTCTATACCCAGAAGCCGGACACCACTGTCAGGGACGAGCCTTTGGCTGAGAAACAGGAAGGATAAAAAAACAAAGGTTAAATAATCTGTCTGTATGGCAGTTGATAAATTCGGCTTACAGTCAGTAAAGGTAACACACGATTTCAATGGTGCTCATCATGCCTCAAGTTTCCCTCAAAGAGAAAATGTGACTTTAATGAACAAATGTTTATAAGAAGTCTATGAGAGGTGAAAAATAAGCAAAGACAAAGTCTCATCACAAGTTGTCAGAGCCTAAAGTGAAATCCTAAAGTTGTTGGCAAACCCAAAAGGTATGCTTTTCCAGTTAAAATATAATAAGATACGGGTGAGCTCATATAGTAAAATGCTCGAGGGTTCACACGGGGCCTTCAGTATGTGGGCCTGCTGTATTGGCCATGTGTAATATTGTTAGAAACGTCACATTAGTGCAGACTGAATGAGTGAGAAAAGGGACGGATCAAGTCCTATCATAGCATAAACTGTTGTTCCAAGTCTAGAAGACAAATTGTTTAATGATGTGGTTAAACTAAAATGAGAATATGGATCAATGAGCGCAAAAAACAAAAACAAATCTTCTATCAGTCGACTATATGTAAAATCTTCGGGAACAGATTCGACTGTGTAAATCTGTCGTCGGCGACAGGGCTAAAAGAAGGAAAGCGGAATAATTCTCGACACGAGAAGCCGTAATGAACAGGTTTTTTTTTTTTTTTTTTTTTATCTCTTTATGAATTTGAACAATTATGGGGTTTTACTGATTAATGTTCATAAAACCAAAAGTTGCTCACTTAGACTAGCAAAGGTTTTAACTTGATTTATCTCCTCGTAATGAAAGAGCATGCTGAATGGCTCAGTACTGAACCCACCTGATGTAAATGGGAGTTGTTGGGTAGCCCTGGCGTCCCTGAAATGCTCCGCCCATGCTTCCCATGGATGTTGTTAATGGCAGGTGACTTGGCCACTTTGGGTCTACCTGTTCCCGTCCTGGTCCCATCCCCGGCCCCCCTCCTCCTACACCTCCACTAGTAATGCCAGTGGATGCAGGAGAGCTTTTGCGCTTTTTTCCTTCCAAGCGCCCGTCTGAGGGGTGGTGGCTGAAGCTGGTGTGGTGGTCAGATGAGGACTGGTGGTGAATGAAGGGCCCTAGGGAAAGTGTGGAGTCGCTGCTGTTCATCACCACACTCATACGCTTAATGGACTCCGCAGGGCTGCCTGATGGAGGACCCCTGGCTGACGGTCCTGAGGAGCCGCCTGCTGACCCTCCAGAGGGCTCGGCTTTGAGGCTGAGTGAGTTGGTCCGCACGGTGGGGCCACAATTCAGCCCCACACTGTGGACTCCACTGTGGGAGGAGCATAACGACGATGAGGATGTAGGACCTAATGAGCCATGGTGGTAAGTGCTCCCTGAGCTGCCGACATTTGCACAGTTCTTCTTAAAAGACGAGGAGGAGAAAGAAGAGTTGGCATTAGAAGACGAGGAATCAGGGGGGCCGTGGGATGAAGACAGAATAGAACTGTTCTTTCTTTTCTTCCCCGAGCTGAAGCTAGTGCTGCTACTGTTACTATTGGCTCCGCTGTTACCCCCACCAGTGGAGTTGGGGATGACAGGGGTGGAAGAGCCAGAGGTGACCTCTTTTGGCTTGAAGGACGATGACGACTTGGTAGTGCTGCTGCTGGAGGAGCGAGACTTGAGTGCCCGGCCTGAGGCTAGGGAAGGAGCTGAAGAGGATGACGACGAGTGGACTGAAGGCATCTGCGGCAACGAAGACACTTGTCGGGCCTGCGTTATGCCGTAGGCCGGGTGCTCAGCCCCGCCCTGAGGGGAGCTGCGGGCATTCAAGGTGGTCCCATAGGAGAGCATGGATTTACCCTCGTAGGATTGGCTATAAGGAGTCTGGGACAGGGTCGCAGGGGGGGCCAGGAAGCCTGAAGAGGGAGTGCTACCATGGGAATTTGTGCTTGTCCTATGCGTAGATGCAACGGAGGAGGAGTTCTCCAAGGCCAACGGGATTTTCCTGCAATAAAGATAAATATTATTCATGAGCTTTAATCTGTTAATCAGCCAACACAGCTGCCGTAACAAAACACAAAAAGTAATTATAGATAACACTGGTCAATATGAAGTGTGGACCGGAAAAACTTACTTCCACATCTGAGAGTTGACATGCTTGTCCGTCATTGTGGTTAGGGTACATCGCACTCTGTCCCACCGCCGGTCAAAGGAGTAACAGCCTCTGCCAAATAGTCGACTTCCAAATGTGCAGTACTTGGGACAGAAAAAGCAAACAGATTACCATATTTTCAATTATGATGTGTACAGCTAATCAATGAGATAAGGAATACAGGGTTTATAATTTCTGAAAACTGGCAAGATGAAGTCAGAAAAAAATGTAACAGATGAACACATCCAATCCTGCACAGTAAATGTAAAAAAAAAGTGATGTTAGAGTGCACTTACAGCTGCCGGCCGAGGGTGATAACCTGAATAGTGACAGTCCAGTTTGTCAGCGTTGTCCTCCCGTTCCTCGTTCTCTCCTTCGTCACTGGAGGGTCGGGAAAAACCATCAGGGGTACTTTGGGGATGGTGAGGTGACTCTTGGACTACAGCAGGGTCTCCAGGGGTACCACCTCCGTGACTACTGTTTAGTCTGATGGACAAGTGTGAGAGTCAACAGTTAGTTTGCGGACCCCAGGAAGAATAGATTCTCGCTATGCTAAAACCAATGGGGATCCAAATAAACAAACAAACAGGCAATTTGTAGTGTCGTTAATTTCAGTGATGTGATTTAACTATTACTAAAAAACAATTAAAAAAAAGAAAGTATGACGTTCTGGCCCAGGACGTACCGAGGAAGACCAGGGCTGTGAAATTTGGGTTTGCTGAGTGGCGAAGGCTTAGTGGTGTCTGGGGCAGGGCCGTTGCCATGAGCAACCTGGTGGACATCATGGGCAGCGGCAAGGTGGGAGGTGGGGTGTGGGTCCCTGAGAGAGAGGTTTTGCTGGGAATGGGGTTGTTGGAGTTCTCTCTCCCTCTCCCGCTCCCTCGTTCTGTTCTTGTGCTCGGCCAGCAGCGTGTCAAAGCGCTTCCTCCGCCCTGGCACTGCCCTCCGCTGGCTTAAGGAATGTGTCTGGAGGGGTACAGGGAAAATCAAAGGTCAGAATGAGCGTGTGGAATTGGGGTCCAATTTGGATTCAAGCAAATGATGTCCTTTTTATTTTGACATGTGTCAAATCATTTTGGGGATATGACAAATATTTTTGCAACAAATAATTGCAACCCTTGTTGTGATGCTGCATGATTATTGTTGTCAACAATTTAACAAAAGCCCAGTACCACCAGTGAATCACTCTATTCCACATATAAGTTCAGTCTGTACATCTAAAACTAAAAACAGGCCTTCTTATTTACCTGTGTTCAAAGTCAAATATAATAATGGAGTTAGTTTATCCTAAATAAATAAAAGTATCTTTATTGATCCTGGATTAGTTTGATGATAAAGGATACAATTTTAGTGCTGCTAATTGAATCATTGGAATATCTGTGTGGGAGGTGGGTATAAAAATTGTTGCCCGTATAAATCCAATTCCAACAATTAGAATAAAAGTGAACAGGCTGGATTGCAGACGTTACATTCTGTTTTTTTGCACTGCACTGAAAATTACTGCTCTGCAACTACTCCTAACTCATTGAGTGATGAGTTAATAATCATTTGCTCTGAGTTTCAGAATTTCTATCTCTTCAACTGAACCAGAGATAAAGAGACCCCTAATATTAGCTAGATCCTCCTCTTTTATAACGCAGGGAGACCAAAGCTTCTCGGGCCGATCAAGAGTTGCCAATGACAGCGGATATTAATCCCGTTGAAAGTAACATCTGGTTTAAACTGAGCTAAAATAAGGAAAAATTACACTTGTATCAAATTTTCCAAGTGAAGCTAGTACACCTAGCTTGCTCATCTCCACAAGAGAGGATAACAATGCTCCAGATCAGGATGCTTCCTTTAAAGAGAAGAATTTTGTAAAGGCACAAATTATTAAATGGGAATTTTAGCAGGATTTGGTGTAAATGTCTAATCAGGTTTTACAATAAATTCACACTGACCTAGAAAGTTGAGATCTGTTGTTTGGGAAGCTGTGCTGGCAGTGCCATATTAACCAGGATGCATTGTGGAAAAGCAGCTGCAGCCTCTACCTTGTTTCGCTGCATTTTTTGAGGTCTATTGTTGCTCATATAAATAAGCTGAATTAAGCTACATCTCTGAGAGATGTATCGTATTCTTCCTTAATATTTGTAATGCAATTTTGGTTGTTCAATAAATGGTTTTGAAACTAGAGAGTTCTTTTAGGCCACCATCTATTCTATTAAAAGGCAACACCCACTGGGCTGCTGGTGGCGCAGGGGTTAGTGTGCGCACCCATGTATGAAGGCTTTAGTCCTCCAAGTGGGCAGCCCAGGTTCGATTCCCACCTGTGGCTCCTTTCCCGCATGTCAATCCCCACTCTCTCTCTCCCTGATTTCAATCTCTATCCACTGTCCTATCTCTCCAATAAAGGCACAAAAGCCCAAAAATAAATCTTTAAAAAAAAAGGCAACACGAGAGAATATCAGCAACAACTGCAGGCAATATTCTCACTTCTCATTCAAACCTGACTCAGAGAGATAATGTTCACATTAGTTGAACTAACACTATGGCTCCTTACACATGGGAGTAGAAACAAAAGGTTTTATTTTAGGTGAAACTGTA